CTCTACACTCCTCCCTTAACTTATAGAGTTTCTTCAAGAAATATAAGCTAAACACTTAAATGATTGTATATTGTGCTTTCATAGCCTCACTTAGATTTTACTCTAAGAGAAAAGTAAAGAAATACTCTAAAAAGAACTGACTTTTACACAAGTGACTGAACTCCCTCATAAACATAGCATCATAACTATTTATAGGACAACACAAAATGGCATATGGAACTATCATGCTTGAAAAAGTGGCATTGCGACACCATTGAAGTGAACTGACACTTTAGCACTAAAATTTTTGCACCGCCACGGTGCTTGCTCATGTGGATTGGTTACATAGTGAGCATTCATATTTCTTTATTGAGAAAATGTGGCCCTTGAAAGTTATAACTGCAATGTCGTGGTGTTGTTGACATTCGAGCTTTGTGGCACCCGAGTGAAAAAAATGGCACAAAGGCATGCAAAATTATGGCTTTGCCGCATTTAAAAATAGAGAATCCGATGCTTTCAAGTTGTCTTTTTGACACCTCAATGTTTGTAATGTCGTGGTGTTGGTTGTGTTTCCACCACAGCACTTGCAAATAAAGAACTCAGCATCACAATGTCCAATTTGTTGTGCCTCGAATATATTGAAGGTGGTACTATGATGTTATTTCATTTGTTGTCATGGCGTTGTGAGCTTCTTAGAATTTAATATGATTGTTTTAGCTTTTATGTACAAAAATAATTAAAATAATATATTTTCACTAAAAAAACCGGTAAAATATTACATAATTCACACTTATCACCCGTACAACACCACGACCCTCCCTCACCCTCGCATCGTATCTCAAGCTCTCCCTCGCCCCCATGTCCATCGCTCACCCCAGCATCCCACGCTCCCCTACCTTGCCCCAACACTTGCCTACCTCGCCAGCACTCATCCTCGTATCCTTGCACTCGTGCTTGCAAATTGCTAGCCTCACCCACCCAACGAATGCTTGCATCCGTCGGTTAGCGAGTAGGGTGAAATCAACCCAAAAACCCGGTGGGTTAGTTCCAGGTCTAAAATTCTGACCTATTTTCCTAATTGTGTCGGGTTTGGGTTGAAGCATATTGTGTCGGGTTTGGGTTGAAGCAAATTGAAGAAAAATAGTTTTGGGTTGGACTCAAACATTGCAAGAATATTAACTCCCATGATCTTGAAAATCCTTTTCATGATTTTGAAGATATATATTAAAGATATCTACTTCATAAGCTAATGTAGATTATAAGCCTTGGCACATCTTAAGAACTCCCTAAGTTGCTGAGTGTTTATAATGCTCTAATAATATCTCCTGAGATTTACAGAACTTTTCCCAAAGTGTTATTAAATCCTGAAGTTTTTCAAGCTTATTTTATGGATGAAAAGTTGAATGAATGTCCTCATTTTGATGACCTTCTCTCGACCATATTTATAGATGATAGCCTCTTATTAAAAATGAATGACCATAACATATTGTATGTTATTACCTTTGTTTATGGTAATACCTTGAACCATATCTTGGTAGACCTTGGGCCCTTAACTAATGCTGTAATTATCCAAACACTTGAACAGTTACTTTGAAACACTTAGAAATTGTGTTAGAATATATTCGTGCTACCTGGCTTCAACAAAAGGGATAGAAAACCATGGGATCCATTGGAATTCCCTTACAATTTGCAGACTTTAAAACATCAGCCAAACTAGCTCCACATCACAGATGCTAATACGTCATTCCGAGCCTTATTAATCTAGAGCCATTAAGACTTGTAGTGATCACAAATAAATAAACTTTAAGCCAAAATCTTGTATACATTTGTAAACTAGGCTCTAAGATTTACAATAACTAACTACCTTAATGATGATCAGTAAGAGTTTTAGCTTCAACTCACAGCCTCAATTAAAAGCTTAGTATAACTAATTGTTTATATAGCAAATAACTCACAATTTATTCCATAATAAATTTATAATTAATGCATAATGCCTAAAAATATAATGATAATCAATTTAGTCATATGAATTAATTATATAACTAGGAATAGTTTAGATATGGTCTAATTATCATATTCATACATATTTAGTATAACAAAACACTCAGTAAAATATTTCACATGATAATTTAACTCACTATATTAATTTCTTAAAACCGTCATTTATTCGCTAGATGTAGGGCTGTCAACATTTGACACGACCCGAAAACCCGACCCGAACCCGACCCGGAAATTTCGGGTTCGGGTCAACCCGAATTGACACCCCTAGCTAGATGCATATTTATACAATAATAATTAGCTTATATATATATATATATATAACCAATGAAACACTTGATAGATTGTCAAATGATGTTACATGAGCTTTGTTATTATCAAATTACTAAGGCTTAATTTGAGACCGCTTTCTTACTATTTTTTAAAATAGCTTTCTAGTAAAAAAAACTATACTTAAAACCTACTTTTAGTGAGCAATAAGTAAGTTATCCCACCCAAACAAAGCCTAAAAAAAATTTATCCGACACATGATAAACACTAAGACTCGAAGAGTCAACAGTGACCTTTGCTTTGTATTGATACCTTCTTTAAATTTGTGGGAGGATAGTCCTTTTATAATGCATATCAAATACTAGCAAAAGCTATTTTAATAAACTAAAACCTCTCTAATTTAATTGTATATATGTGAATGCCAAGCTTTATTTATTGGTTACTTCTCTAGCACTAAGTATTTTCATATTTTTTGTTTAAAAATACCTAAACAACATCAAAAGTAAAGAAGAGAAACCGCTTCCTTAGGCTTGGGCTATGGGATAATTTGTAAGTTGGAAAAGAGAATTTTTTTCCTATAAATTCAAATCTATGAGTTTGGTAATATTTTAATTTTTATAACTAAATCAAATATTATAATTCAAGAATAATTTATAGTTTGCTTTTTACAGTGAATAGGCAATCATTGGGGTAGTGGATGGCCAACAGAACCTTCTAGTGTAAATAATAATAAAAAAAAGACATGGATAAGTTTGAATTCAAAAGGATATCACATAATATAAGTACTAATAAGTGTCACGGATATCAAATTTATGCTGAAAAATTAAATTAAATCATCCATGGAGGTCGTCAAAATATTTGCATTATTCTTAAAATAAAATTAATAATTTTAGAAATTATCATGAATATTTCAAAAAATATATATATAATTTATATTCAATAATATATTATGCATGCAAATTTTTTTATTTCTTGATTGAGAACTTTGCTTATGAACTAAAAGTTTGAATTTGAATATTATTCTATGTGATATATGTATAAATTTATATTAATTGATTTAAATATTTAAAATAATAAAAATAATATAATAAGCTGTTAAAGGAAATTTTACTTGTCCCAAAAAGATAAAATAATGGTGACAATAGTTATGAAATTAATGCATGAGTTCACCATTAATGGTTCATCATTTTGTTGAGCATTTAAATCTTATAATTAAAGCACATGGACACACAGTACAATCTCCTACCATGTCATCCTACTCGGCAGGGCAATCTTGGAATTTTTCAAAAAAGTTCAATTTTGAATGCGTTTCAGGGGCAACGGTCGGATCTCGGATTCCGCCGTACACAGAGCCGTCCGATCTAAATCAGCTAATCATAAACCTATGTGCGCCTTAAAAAGGAATCCTCTTTTTCACAGCGAAGCAGAGGTCGAGAGGCGACAGTTCAATCCAAGCAAGCAGATTACTCAATAGCTCGAAGGAGAAGGTTCCCCTCTCTCCCTCTCTTTCTTCTTCCTTACTTCATCTGCCTGAAGCGTACCTCAATCTCTCTTTCTACTGTGTAAGAGCTTAGCTTCATTTTGCTCTTCTTTCTTTCTCTGAGGCAGAAGACTTCATTTAATTCAAACTAAACAAAATAAATAAATAAATCGTACATTTTTTTAACTCTTTTTTTTAGATTGCATTCTTTTTTGAACAACCAAACAGCCTATTAATGTCTTTCTTCTCCTTTTCTATTTCTTTTAAAGCGCAGGAGAAAGCGAATTAGAAAGTCTCTCAAAGCGAAGGAAAGCAGATTAACGGTGGTATTTTCGGGATTTTCTAATTCCCCTAAGCTTTCTTGCCTTTCAGTTTCTTAGGCGAAGCAGCTAGCAACCGGCCGCCAGCAGCAGGAGTTCGAGCTGGTGAATGATCTCCCCTCTTCTCATCCGTTCATTTTCAAAATTTAACGACTTTCAATCAAAGCTGGATTGCTGAAGTCTCAAACGGTACTTTCGATATTTGAACTTTTGAACTTTTTTTTTAATAAATACTTTTTAAAATATATATTTAATCTCATATATATTTGTGTTATTTTTATACATTTATATCCAAAATTTTAAAATAAGTGGACGTTGTCAGGTTTAAACTTCAAAATTCTATGGTTGTGTGTAAATTTTTTTTTAATAAAAAAATGAATAGATAGATCTTAATATAAATTTAATCATAAGAAGTTTGAAAAATTCAAATATCGATAATTAATTAATTAATATACTTTAATCCTAACAAAATAAATTCAAAGAATTCAATATTTATTAATTGTATTAAATTTTAATTAGAATATTCTTTTTATTTTTATTTTTTAAAAAAATATTTAAATATAATTTATGTTAAGTTGAGATTAAAATAAAATTTAATTCTCTTTAGTTGAGAGTTTTAGTTATGAATGTGATGAGTATGAATTTATCTTAATTAATTTAAATGTTTAAATATAAAGAAAAAATTTATTAAATTTATTTTGAGAATAATTTATATTAATTTTAAAATAAATTTTAAATTTTAAACTCAATTATTTTTTTTCTTTTTGTTTAATTTCTTGGTCACTCCTGCACATGCGTTCCTTACCGAACCGACCCAATTCGGCTCGGCCGACCGTTCACGCCATTGACCTGGAGGAAGTAGCTCACTGGAACTTTCCCGTATGCCAGTTCTGAGTTGTAATTATGGAGTAAATATATAGTACTAATAATTAATGTTGTTATTTATCAAATCATAAAGTAGTGTTCCACTTCTTCCCTTCCAAAAGTCGTCCACTATTCAGTCGCTTTCGATGCTCTTACTTATTCGCCGGAGAAGCTGGTGGCCGCCTAAACGCTCCGTAAGATCTGCGGTTGAAGATTCATTGAAGCGAGGACTGCTGTACTCCACTCTTTTTGTTTTTCTCTGAATCTAATACTCTATTTTCATTTCGCTGTGCGGAAAAAACTTGCCGTTCTTTCCCTCAAAGCTCTCACCTTTTTCTCTTCCTGCCTTTCTCCAGACCACCGCAGCCGCCGACATGGTCGAAGACCTGGATGAGCGATCCGCCGAGCACTGGCTCGCCCGCGCCCGCCTCCTTCTACCTTCGGCCCTGGCAAAATCCCGTTCCGCGGCCTCCGGCGGCACGCGGGGCTTTGCCGGCCGGTGGAAATCTATTGCTTCCAAACTCGAACGCATCCCTCCCTGCCTCTCCGACCTTTCAAGCCACCCATTTTTTGCAAAGAACGCGCTTTGCCTTGAGCAGCTTCAGTCTGTGGCTACTACCCTAGCCGAAACCATTGAATTGGCTGAACGGGTCTCCGGAGGCGACCCATCCGTCGGAAAGCTCCAGATGCAGAGTGACCTCGATGTTTTATCCGGTAAGCTTGAGCTCAATCTCGACGATTGCCGGCTTCTCATCAAATCGGGAGTTCTCGGTGAAGTCGCCCTTCCCCCTTCGCCCGAGGGCACTTCTTCGGAATCAAACATTAGGGAATTGCTCGCAAGGTTGCAAATTGGGCACGCGGAGGCGAAGCACCGCGCGATTGATGGGTTACTCGAGGTGATGCGAGAGGATGAGAAAAGTGTGGTGGCCGCCCTAGGCCGTAGCAGCATCACCGCCCTAGTCCAGCTTCTTTCCTCCACATCATCAAAGATCAGGGAGAAGGCCGCAACCGTTGTGTGCTTCTTAGCAGAATCTGGAAATTGTGAGGGTCTGTTGGTCTCTGAAGCTGTCCTGCCACCGTTGGTAAGGCTGGTTGAATCCGGTAGCCTTGTGGGAAGGGAAAAAGCAGTGATATCATTGCAAAGGCTCTCAATGTCTGTAGACACAGCTAGAGCCATTGCTGGGGATGGAGGCATCCAACCATTGATTGAGGTATGCCAAATTGGGGATTCATTTACACAATTGGCCGCCGCTGGCACTTTAAAGAACCTCTCTGCAGTGGTGGAAGTGCGTCAGAGTCTTGCTGATGAAGGAGCTATCAGAGTCATGATCAATATTCTCGACTGCGGTGCTGTTTTGGGTGCAAAAGAGTATGCAGCTGAATGCTTGCAGAATTTGTCTTCTGGTTGTAATAGCCTGAGGAAGTCAATTGTATCTGAGGGCGGAATTCGCAGCCTCTTAGCCTATCTTGATGGCCCTCTACCACAGGAATCGGCGGTTTCTGCGCTGAGAAATCTTTTGGTTTCAGTCTCAATGGATAGCCTGCCCTCCCTCGGACTTCTGCCAAGACTAGTCCATGTACTGAAGGATGGATCTCTGGGTGCGCAGCAGGCTGCAGCATCTGCAATTTGTAGGATATCTGGTACCTCTGAAATGAAGAGATTGATTTGGGAGTATGGATGTGTTGCTTTTCTTATAAAGTTGTTGGAGGCCAAGTCGAATGGTGCAAGAGAGGTGGCTGCCCAGGCAATTGCTACCCTGATAAGCTATGGGCCGATTTGCCGAGATGTAAAGAAGGATGAGCAGAGCGTACCAAGCATGGTTCAGTTGCTTGACCCAAGCCCAGCAAATACAGCGAAGAAGTATGCAGTATCTTGCCTCTTGTCATTGTCTTCCAGCAAGAAGTCCAAGAAGATGATGATTTCTCATGGTGCAATTGGGTACCTTAAGAAGCTTAAAGAGTTGGATGTGCCCGGTTCAAAGAAGCTGTTGGAGAGACTAGAGAAGGGGATGCTGAGAAACTTATTTAGCAAGAAATAAGTGAAGGCTGAAATTCTGAGTCTTCCATAGTTTCACTGCCTCTATGAAACATTAATTGGATACTGAGAGCTGTGTTCTGATCCTTGGCCATGTTTGTGTATGCTGAATGTACAATTGCCCTATTAAAATCTCAGATGTTGTACCTCCTAGTTCTCTGTAAATCTCTGAACTATCTTGGCACTTCCCCATTTCTCAATCTCATTTAGTCCATTAAAAACTAGCTCCTTACTGATCTTGTTGCTTTTTGTTCATTCCATTTTATTTTAGCCCTTGTTTTCCTAATTAACTCTGTATTTGTTGGAGAAATCCAGACAACTTAAGCTTACATGATGAAAAAAAAAAACTCTAAAATAAGGCAACCCATTTACCATGGAAGAGTTCAGTATTCAGTGAATAGTTTTTTTGAAATTTTAGGCTTGGCATGTGTTATGTCCGGCATAGGGCAAAGTGCTAACTGTTTTTCATTGGAGTCAATTACCTTTGTAACATTAAAATCCTCCACTTTTGCAGAGCTAACGCTTAAGAATTTCTATTACAATGGTATCACCCAAATCTTCAAGAGCATGATAGAATCATCATCTTTCTCCAATGATTTCATCATGATTTGGTGGTACTGTAGCTAATTTTTAACATGCGTATTATGGAGCAGGAAGATATTCACGGCTACTTCTTGATTTGTTTGGTTACTTCATTAAACTTGCGTCTACTCAACACTCATTTGCCCCGGAAGAAGTCCAGGCTTTAAAGAGTTTGTTTGGTAACAATTCTGCTTTTAGATCAACTAGGGCATATTAGTGTGTGGCTTTAATGATCTGGAGTCATGATAGCTAGCCAATAATAATGAGTTGTAGTACGTCTATATCATGAGAAATAATTAGCATGAACACTTTCGTATATTTCTTGACTCGATTGTAAAACCTGGATCTGCGAACGAATTATACGGTGTTTTGCAAGTGTGCATGTCATTTCGAGTAATAAAATGATGAGAATGTTTGCTCAACTATCAGTTGCTATCCTTACAAGTTAAAGTACTAATCTTTGGAGATCACTTAAATTATCTTACAAGTCGAATATTTTTTTAAGGAGCAAGAAAAAGAAAATAAGAATTCAGTGCTTTTGAAAGATTTTATATGGTTTTACAAATCTAAATTTATTATACATGTGGTGATTATGTGCATACAAATTTGATATATATGAAGTTATGACTAACATAATGTAATTAATCACTTGATTTATTACATACACCATATCTTCTTAATAATTCTAAAATCCTGAAAATTCATATCCATATTTTCACGCTTATATTAAAATTTCCTATGGAGGACATACGTCACATTAGATTTTAAATTTTTATGGGGTAACATAAATAAAAGTGGATTGGGGAAACATGAAACAATTTTATGCCATAAAAGTCTAGACCTACTCTACATTACAAACAATACTGTCATCACATCAAAAATTAAAAAAAAAAAACTAGCCAGCATATTTAACGAAATAAAAGTCACCATTATCATTGTAACTCATAACAAAAATAGATAGTGGGAAAATTAAACCAGAACAATCTTTGAATTAAAGACTTGCTCTCCTTCTAGAAATTGCTCCTAATCCATCTTCCAATCCACAACATAATTACAAAAATACTCAGATACTAAAAGAAAGTAGAAAAAAAAAAGCAAGGAAGAAACCCTCCAAAACTCTATCTAGAAACCTGCATTCCTTAAGAAATCATTATTAGTTACTATTAGGGCAAAGTGCTAGCTGTCCATTGGAGTCAATTACCTTTGTAACATTAAAATCCTCCACTTTTGCAGAGCTAACGCTTAAGAATTTCTATTACAATGGTATCACCCAAATCTTCAAGAGCATGATAGAATCATCATCTTTCTCCAATGATTTCATCATGATTTGGTGGTACTGTAGCTAATTTTTAACATGCGTAATATGAAGCAGGAAGATATTCACGGCTACTTCTTGATTTGTTTGGTTACTTCGTTAAACTTGCGTCTAGTCAACACTCATTTTCCCCGGAAGGAGTTCAGGCTTTAAAGAGTTTGTTTGGTAACAATTCTGCTTTTAGATGAACTAGGTCATATTAGTGTGTGGCTCTAATGATATGTAGTCATGATAGCTAGCCAATATAATGAGTTGTAGTACGTCTATATCATGAGAAATAATTAGCATGAACACTTTCGTATATTTCTTGACTCGATTTTAAAACCTAGATCTGCGAACGAATTATACGGTGTTTTGCAAGTGTGCATGTCATTTCGAGTAATAAAATGGTGAGAATGTTTGCTCAAGTATCAGTTGCTATCCTTACAAGTTAAAGTACTAATCTTTGGAGATCACTTAAATTATCTTACAAGTCAATTTTTTTTTTTAAGGAGCAAGAAAACGAAAATAAGAATTCAGTGCTTTTGAAAGATTTTATGTGGTTTTACAAATCTAAATTTATTATACATGTGGTGATTATGTGCATACAAATTTGATATATATGAAGTTATGACTAACATAATGTATATTAATCACTTGCTTTATTACATACACCCTATCTTCTTAATAATTCTAAAATCCTGAAAATTCATATCCATATTTTCACACTTATGTTCACATTTCCTACGGAGGACATAGGTCACATTAGATTTTAAATTTTTATGCGGTAACATAAATAAAAGTAAATTTGGGGAAACATGAAACAATTTTATGCCATGAAAGAGTCTAGAGCTACTCTACATTACAAACAACACTGTCATCACATCAAAAATTCAAAAAAAAGAAACTAGCCACTATGTTGCATATTTAATGAAATAAAGGTCATCATTATCATTCTAACTCATAACAAAAATAGATAGTGGGAAGATCAAACCAGAACAATCTTTGAATTAAAGACTTGCTCTACTTCTAGAAATTGCTCCTAATCCATCTTCCAATCCACAACATTATTACAAAAATACTCAGATACTAAAAGAAAGTAGAAAAAAAAAAAAAAGCAAGGAAGAACTAGAAACCTGCATTCCTTAAGAAATCATTATTAGTTACTATTAGGTTAATTAATTTATTATTTTTGAAATTGTTGCACATGTAAATACTAAATAATTATATATTTACTATCACATTTGAGATTAGAGTTAAAAAAAATATATAAAATTTGCTCACATATCAAAATTAAGGACAAAACAAATTTTTTACATGAAACAACAAAACAGATGTTACAATTTGTAATAGTCCATATTGACTCTATCAAATATTTTTTTAAAGGAGTCAATATAATCCGAATCAATAACCGTCTTTGTCATAACATAAATATTGTAGTGATTTAATTATACCATTTTTTTCATAATTTTTATTACCAGTAAAAATACTTAAAAAACTGACACCTATCGGTACAAGTGGGAATTTTTGGATAGCCAAGTATCTGTTTCGCAATTCAGAGGAAGAAGGATTTCGTGTGTGGAAGCGACGGGAGCAGAGGGATTCAGCGTGTGAAAGAGCAGCGACTGAAGGCAGGGCTCTGCTTCATTTTATAGATGCGATTCGAGCAACGACCGAGGCGGGATCGCGAGCTTTCTACAGGAATCGCGGGAAATTGACCGGAGCGACGCCGTTTGCAGCAGGATTTCGGCAAGATATCGCGGATGGATTCGTGGATCCGTCGGGCACAGGGTATATATGCAGGATTTTGATCTGAGCTTTCTTCTCGCTTTTGTTCCTCTAGTTATTATTCAGAGGTCAACAAAAAATTAGGTAGCTCTAGTTGTGTAAATTTTAATATAAATATATATTTTTTTTAAATTAGATTTTTGGACGTCACACAATCTTCCCCACTGAACAAAAATAAAAGAAATTCTCATAAAAATAAAAATAAAACTCCCCTTTTACATCTTCTTCTACAACAACAACTACTACTATTGATCTTAGGGCCACAGTAAAATGAGAAGGTCAAGGCTGCAGGGAAGAAAGTCCTATTAGGATCAACATTAAGTTGGTAGTTTTGAAACATATTTACCAAAAAAGAGTTGAACCTAGCTGTGTAATTGAACTGTTGGTTCTGTGATCCAATATATACTTTGTTCTATGGATTATTCATTCCTGCAACCGCATTGATGTATCCACTATATGCTACAGGCTAGCCACCTGCTCCCTTAAATCAATCAACTGATCTCCTAGAGTTTGGAGGATCCTATACCAAGGCTGGGCTGACTAAAAGTCTCACTAGGCTTCCTGCTCAATTGTTTGAATGATACAATTGTGTTCTTTGTAAGAGTAGTACTAGAAATAGTTACTCTTTAGTAGCATTCCCATAAACCCCTACTTGGTTTTTTTTTTTTTTTTTTAAGGATTTTTTTTTTTTTTTGAAGGAAGCAAAATGCATTATGAACTAAAAAAACCGAGAGCCAAAGCCTACAGAGAACAAGCTAAAGATTCCTCCTTCAACAAATTAACAAATGGAGGAACCTTATCAAGCAGAAAATCACCCCAAAAAAATGTATAAAAAACTCCAAAGTTAGCACATAAGTTCGCTAACTTATTACAATCTCTCTTAATGCAATTGAAAATAACATAATTAAAGTCATCTATAAAGGAAATACTTTATATACCTTTACCTCCTCTTTTGAGAGCTTTATGGATGAATTTGATGATATTTGCATTATCACTCTCAATAATAATTCCTTTGTACTCATGCCTCCAATCTTTGATGACATCTTTAATAGATGTTATAGCAAGAAGCTTCAGGTAAGTAATATCCCAGTGGATATACGGTTTCCCAAAAGCTGCAAGCATTCTACCTTTATGATCTCTAACCACTCCTCCAATGCCTCATTTGTAAGAAGATAATAAGGCCGCATCTACATTTACCTTGATCCAATAAACCCCTACTTGGTTACATAAGAAATAAATCAATGAGTGGTGGTCGTACCCTAAAGTAGTAGAACCCTTAAGCATATACCGGATAGACAAAAAAATGACATAGTTGGTTTACTTTTATTTTTTGGTAGTGGTTTATATGGGTTGGAGAACTAAATGTCTAAATAGATAGACAATCGGAGACGAAAACTAACCTACCAAGTACCATATATCAGATCCCGTGGTTCCATCGTCTCGAATTTGTCATCGCCCTTAGCCTACTTAATCGAATACCGACAAGTGGATCCTGATTAGCAACCATGGGTTACCTTATTTAGGGGGGCTTTGTAGGCCTAGGCTGACAGACGGGAAAAGTGCAAGGGCATATGTAGTGGACATATGTTTAAGTTATCTACCCTAAGGTGTCAACCTTATGC